TTCAGGAACCTGGTGTTAGGGTGGAAGTAGAGATGTAAGATCTAATGAGTGTAAACATAGGTAAATTCAAATGATGAATCAAGTTAATCCACATTCTCTATTTTAAAATAAAAGAAAGGTTCTAGATTGTTATCTGTGGCCTAAGAAAGGATCTGGCCTTTTCTGAGCCCAGATACCAGCAGTAGAGTGTTATCTTAGACCACATGTCCAATGTCCTAATATGCTTTGGGAAAAAAGAAAAGTCAACAAAGTTCACAAACATTAAGATTAAAGTAATCCCTAAAATGATCTAAGCCCTCTTAGATCCCTCCTCCTTTTCCCCTTTTAAAGATAAAGTACAATAACTTAGCCCAAATTGTTGGTTGAATGATTTGCCCAAGGTCATACCCAGATAATAGCAAAGTATAGATAAGAATATATAAGTCTCCAATATGCTGAAGAATCAAGAAAGAATGAACATTTATCAGTCTTTTACATTGTTCCAAGCATAGTTCAAAGTATTTTGCATACCTTATTTCATTTAATCATAAAAACAAAGAAAATCCTTCTAAGTGGGTATGATTATCCCTATTTTGCAAATACCCAAACTGAAGTTCAGAGAGATAAAAGTCAGTTAACTAGCTTAGCTCAGCTTGTGAATGGAGGTGTCAGGATATAAATGCAGAACACTTAGACAAAACTACAAGTTTTATTAATGGTGTATTAATAAAATTTTAACAATAGGATTTCCAGGGGAAAAATGTCCTGGTTGGTGGTGGATGCCAATTTCCATGGTGTAAAGACTCCCTCCATTGCTAATTTCAAGCTACCAACATGACATCATTGAATTCAGAGAGAAGAGGTGCATACTACAAGCTTTCATGAGCAAGGGTGAGACAGCACCAGCACAACACTGGATAGCCCACACAGTCCTGATATCCACAGCTCACAAAGGAGCTAAAATGTTTCTGGAGGACAGGTAGGACTGAACTGAGGACGTATGTATGACATCATTAAATTCAGAGAGGAGAAGAGGTACGTACTACAAGCTTTCATGAGCAAGGGTGAGACAGCACCAGCACAACACTGGATAGCCCACACAGTCCTGATATCCACAGCACACAAAGGAGCTAAAATGTTTCTGGAGGACAGGTAGGACTGAACTGAGGACGTATGTATGAACCAAGGCTGTTCAGATTACAACTAAGAAAGAACTCTTCTTTAAAACCATCAGCATTATGACAAGGAGGGGCACAGACGTGATCGATAAATCCTCAAATACCACCTGGGCATCTAGCCAGGACAAATAATAAGAAAAATTATCTCTATAAGATAATCAGCTTAGGACACTCAAACTCCAGGTTCTCAATGCCTGTGAAGTCTAGAAACATTGGTACCAATTGCTAAGAAGCTAGGCTATTGCTAGACTAGCCTCACTCTTCCGGGATGAACCCCTCAGGCTGCTGTAGGCAAAAGGACTTCCATGCCCTACAGCCTCCAGGTAGGATCTGGCCCATCCAAGCCCCACTCATGTTCACCTCCAAGTGAAATTCTCTCACTAGATTCTCACACAGCTGAATTTAATGATGGTCTCCAACCCTGAGAATGAGTGAAAGAATGATTCCTTATGAGAACTGGCTATAAATCCGAAATATAAAGCAATGACAATAAAAGGCATCTCTGGGACCCAGGCCATGAAAGAAACAGTAATCACAATTGACATTTACTATTGTACAAGCCAAGTACTTTTGTAATCATTTAAGTATTAACTAATCTATGCCTAGTAACAACTCTAAGGAAAGAATACCTCTTGACAGAAAGGGTTCCCATTTTCAAGTGAGCAAACTAAGGCATGGAACAGTTAGGTAACTTGTTTAAGAACACATAACTAGTAAGAGGCAGAGCTGAGTTTTTGTCTGTTTGTTTTAAGAGAAATTTTTTGCTACAGGGCACATAGGTTTGCTGGAGAGACAGAGAAACGGGAAGCAAAAATTCACACCCCCAGGGGATGGCCACTCTGCAATCCCTTCTCCTTGATTCTCATCTCAGGATTTTGGGCATGCATGCACACACACCTGGCATGAATTTAAGCCACCGGGTCCAGGACTCGAACCACAGTTGACTATGTGAGAGTCGAGCGACGTAACCATTATGCCATCTGCTGGTGCCCAAAGTTGAGATTTTAACTCAACCAGTCTGGCTCCAGAGTCTATAATTAATCCCTTAATTAATGGTACCCACTGTATTAATAAGAAAGGATATAGCAGATTAGCAGATTAATTCATCAGAACCTTTTAAAGATATCAGAAACACCATCACTAGCATCATTATGGTTTAAGGTATGTAATGGAAAGTCATGGCATAAAACTGGCTTGTGGGGCTGCCCATAGAGCAGTGTAAGGGCTATGGATCCCATAGGGCTAACCACAGTTGGAATCCTGGTCTAAGCAGCTAGAAAAACACCAGAAGGCAGTCCCTGTGTGGCTTGGTAATGCCACAAATCCCATCTCTTCCACCTCTTCCTCCTTTAGCAGTTTTGGTCATATGGGCACACTCACTCAGTATGTTTTTCAAGTCACTGGGTTCCGAACTCAAACAGCACTATCAGCCATGTGAAATCCAACCACCCTAACCACTATGCCATGGGCTGGCCTCATACTTCTTCTTATAGAATATTAATTCTATGTTTGTTTATAAAGTTTTTATATTGAGTTAGAAAGAATAACAAAAGGAGGGACCAGCAGGTAGCATAATGGTTATGTCACTGGACTCCCACGTGGCTGACTGCAGTTCGATTCCCAGACCTGGCGGCTTAAAACTCATGCCACGCATGTGTTCATGTGTGTCCAAAATCCCAATAGAAGAATGAAGGAGAAGGGATCACGGTGTGCCCATCCTCCCTGAAGGATGATTTCTCGCTTTCTGTCTCTCTGTTTCTCTGGAGAGTACATGCAAACTATAGCAAAAATCTCTAAAAAGAAAAGAAAAAGAAATAACAAAATGAAATGTAAATGAGTTTGCCCTGGATTTCAGGGCCCATTGAAAGACAGTTCAGCCTTGGTAGTCACTCAACAACCAGGTAGAAAGATAGGCAGCAATTTGCTGGCCATATACAACTAGCAAGGGACAATAGTCAGCAGCGTGTCTAAATAAGTCAAATAGCCAGAGGAAAACCAGCCCCCAAACTTAATCTCTCATCTTCTCGGAGATGAGATCTTTATGTGGCCCAAGTAAGTATGACAGCACATTAGTAAGGAATATGTAAGTGTTCAATAGAGCAAAGGCCAGGCCGATGTATCACAATGACCAGGAGTTCTGTGTCTGAATCATTTGGGAGAAGTCACATACTCCTGCGGCCCAACCAAGAATCTGTGCGGGTGGCAGGGTGACCTCCTGCCTCTCCTGTCTGTATCTCTTTCCTCTCTCATGGAACTATACTCCCCCTGGACACACGGACTTCCAGCAGGACACTCACTCTCTGACGGTCACCGGGAAGGGTGTGATTCCTCTCACAGGAAACTAAAATTGCAGAAGGAACTCTCACACACAGACATGTTCCTTCACAGTGCTGGGCTGGACCAAGTAACCATAGAGTGGGAGAAAGAAGTAGGGACCGGAAAATACCCATTTATTCAGCTTCAAGAGAATGAGATTCTTGGGGCTTGATTCTGATACCAGATCCCTATGGGCCAGGAGGGACTTCTGGTTGTAACTGTCGCAGTCTCTCTTCTCCCCTGATAAAAGTGAAGACCCAGCTCATCACCCCTGTGAGCATGGAGGTTAAGAACTCAGGGTCCGAATTCAGGCTTACCCATAATCTTGGGCAGGTTCCCTAATATCCTTGAATCTCAGTCTCCTCACCCATAAAATGGGAGAACTAGAATGTAACTCCAAGGGCATCTCTTTTAATAATGAGAGAAAAATAAGCTAAAGATTACAGAGTGTTTATTATGTGTCCAACTTTTTTTATGCATTGTCATTTCACTGTCAAACACATAGGTACCGTGATGACCCCCATTTTATAAGTATAAGAACCTTCCCCTGAATCACCGGCTAATAAGAAGCAGATCCAGGGTTCAAACTTGGGTAAGTCTCATTCCACTCTTCTGTGTTATTCAGAGCTACACAGAAAACAACGAAGTGCCCAGCAGACAGCAGGTGCTTAATAAATGTCATTTCTTCCCTTTCTCCTTACTTCATCACTGTCTCCTGGGCTGTCTCACTGGAAGGACTGTAATGGGGAACATAGACAAGGACAAGTGCTTGGCAAACCAGCTCTTCAAAAGTCTCCAAAGGAAGTGGCTCAAGGCCAAGCCCTTAATAAAGAGCCTTCAGAGCAAGTAGATTTGGGCTTCTCCTTCTATTAATACGGATCCACTGATGGCTCTTCCATCCCTATTCTTTCTGTGCAACCTACACAAAATCACCAAATGACTTTCAAGAAGCCAGAAAGTCAAGAATATTACGCATCTTAAAGTTTCATGTGAAATGAGATCACCTCTGAAATGTAACAGCGGAGCACTGGAGACAGAGCCTGTCTTTCAGTTCGACCCTGGCATTTATGAAGCTGGGTGGTCCTGAGCAAAACCACCTGCCTTCTCTGTGTCTCTGGTTTTTCATTTGTTAATACACAGCTAATAATCCTTGTCTTGCCTATCTCAATGTGGCTGAGAGAACTGAGTGAGGAACGTATATGAAAATACTTGACAATTTATGAAGCACTATGCAAATGGGGGGGAATTATCAGTATTCATCAACTGATTATCAGATTTGCTAAGAAAATTCTTGAACGAGAAAAACTGGAGCCAAAAAGCAGGCGTAAGCATCAAGCTGGAATGAGAGTCAGCTGGTAAAGAAAAACTGGCTGTCAGAACCTCATTTTCAGTGCTGGCAGTTAACCTTCAATCAATTTTATAAGGCCAGGAAACAGCCATATTTTTAATTCAGTGTCCGTGGCAGGCTCAGCATTGGGAAATTTAATGGTAGTGAAGACACCAACTTAAAGAAACACAGCTTCTTACCTCTCCTTCTAAAAATGAGATCTTTTCTAAAAGCTGCAATATCAAGAGCTGTTTCTGCTGCACCTTTTTCTTTAATGATTCAATCTAGAAAGAAGCAAATTGAAAACTGTTAGTCAAGGATGTAGAATTGCATAAGTACAAGTTTATCAACAGGAAGAGATGCCTTCAGTTGTCATTTAAACAGAGTCCACACATGGGTTCTGTGCGTCTCACAGAACAGTGTTACCAGGCGATGGCTCCACTTTGAGGGACTCTGTGACCTAGTAAACTTGGGGTATGACATAATTTTAGAGTCATGGATCATAAGTTTTTTTAACTCAACATTTTTAATACTGATTTCTGTGTTTAACCCTTACCAACACCCCCACAGTACTTCCAGAGAACATACTTTGGGAAATGCAGAAAAATAATTTTCTATAAAAAATGATTACTCAGCTTGAATTTATAAGGTAGTCTATATTTCAAACATTCTGTTCTAGTATTCCTTTTAATATTCATATTTGTTCAACCAACTGCCGAAAGTTTTGGTTTGGTAAAAGGATTGTTAAAAGTATTGCTAAAAGTATTCATGAAATTCAGAGATGGAGGAGGTATATACAGCCTGAAATAAGCAGAAATGGCTTCCTAAATAGACTTGTGCTGGGCTTTCATTTTGTTTATATAACGCATTCTATCTTGGACTACTCTTTTTTTTTTTAATTTAACTTTATTTTTATTTCTTTATTTCTATTTGACTGGGGGAGAGGGGTAAACGGAGAAAGTGAGAAAGCAAGCTGCCAGGCCTGAGACTCGAACTGTGGTCAGCCATGTGGGAGTCCAGCACCTTAACCACCATGCCACCTGACAGTCCCTTGGACTACTCTTTAATAGGCATGTATAACTTCTCTTTAGATAAACCAGTTCCCTAAAAGCAGGAACCTGGGTACTCTGCAGCAGGCCATCACTTAGCTAATAGTGGGATCGTTGGTAATTTTAATGCACAAGTTAATGTTCTAACAATCTTGTGTATTAACTTTGAGCAATCATTTTTTTTAAAATCCCTCACAGTGTAAAATGACACAATTCCTATGCAAGAGAACCTAGCAATATCTTTTAACAATAGATACACAGCTACCCTTTGACTCAGCAGCCTCATTTCCAGTAATAGACCCCAAGATACACTGGCAAAAATATGAAATGACTTGGACACAGGATTTTTGTTCTTTAAAAAACACAAAACAGGGCAGGTGCTGTAGCCTCATGGTTAAGGGAGCCAGATCCCACATGGCCAACCAAAATTCAAATCTGGACCAAAGAGACTTAAAAAACATGCCTGGTATGCGTGCATGCATGCCTGAAGTCCGAAGAAGATGGAGAAATGGAGGAGATAGATTGCAGTGGACCATGCCCCATTGGAGAGGCGCATTCCTCCTTCTCTGTCTTTGTCTCTCTGGGGAGTGTGTATGCCCTCAGACACACACATATATTCTCACATACAACAGAAATCCCATCAGTAGGGCTATCAGCAATGGCACACTGGTGATACGATGCTCTGTGAGGCTGTCCCCCTTGGGCAGGTAATAGATTCTTGTCCAGAGACCTCCTTGTGTACAGAGGGCATACATGCATGTGCTCATGACCCAAGCTAGCTGAGGCTGGGGTGGATTGTGGTATGGAGACTCTGCTAGGGATGCCAGTTCTCCTCCTCTCCTCTCCTCTCCTCTCCTCTCCTCTCCTCTCCTCTCCTCTCCCCCCCCCTCCCCTCCCCTCTCCTCTCTCCTTCTTTCTCTCTCTCTCTCTCTCTCTCTCTCTCATAGAAGAAATAAGATTTTTTAAAAAAGTTTGAAAAAGAAAGGAAACTCCATCAATAAGTGGCTGATTAAATAAACCATGGTACTGAACTATACTAGAAGTCTATATGACCTTTAAAAAAATGAAGATCTTGGGATCAGCAGTTGACGTAATGGCTATGTCACTGGACTCCCATATAGTCAACTGCAGTTCAAGTCCCGGACCCAGTTGCTTAAACCCACACCAGGCGCGTGTGCATGCCTGCCCAAGATCCTGTGAGGAGAATGGCGGAAAAGAGATTGCAGCATGGCCATCCTCCTGGGGAGTGATTTCTCGCTTTCTGTCTCTCTGTCTCTCTGACTTTCTGGCATGCACAAGTGCCTTATAGCAAAAAACTCTCCAAAAATAAAAAGAAGCTATCTAAAACACAGATACAATTTAACATAATGTATACATGGTATGCTAGTTTTGATGTAAAACAGCTGGGGATATATGAAGGTATATGTACTTGCAAAAAGAAACACTGGAAAAACAAACCCTAATTACTAAGAAATAGGAGAGGGAGGAACTTAGGTGGGGAGACAGATGGAAAAGACTTTTTTAATAACTTGTTACACAGGCTTAACTCTGAAAGTATTTTACAGATTGAAAAAATAAAATTAAGCCAGAAAGAAAAAATATAAACCTTAAAAGTTAAAAAAAAAAAAAAACCTGACATGAAGAAACTTAACATATATCAAACTGGTTAAAAAAAAATCAAGTGTAAAAACAAAGGAATTTGACTACATATTTTTAGAAATATGTTCCAAGGATACAGAGCTGCAAAGAAATATCTCATTCACTAGGAAAACTGTCAGTAGTAATGTTGGTGTTATTATTTTGAAACTATCTGATATATATATTGGAGTATAATGATACTTGGAACCAAGATTTTTACTGTAAGAAATCAAAATACAAGTATGAAATCAAAGAAGTAAAGAAAAGTTTCGTTACATGAGAAATGACATCAGTACGGACTCATAATCTTTTTTTTTTTTTTTTTGGTTAAAATATGTATACCTACTCTGTCCACTGAGAATGCTTAGAAACAGTAAGAATATAATACATCTGGATTGTGTTCTCCAAATTAAAAAAATAGAGCATTGTGGAGGAATGGCCCGTACTAGGAGACAAAAACAAACTACAGGAACCTGAGATGCTGGCTGTGCCTGGAAACAAAGACCTGAAGGGTCTTCCCTTGGGCCATGGATGGCACAACCTGAGCATCATAAGAATAATGAATGCAGGCCAGCAGGTGGTGTAGTGATTAAGACATGGAATTCATGTGGTCGACTGGTTTGAGTCCTGGACCCAGCGGCTTGAAACTCACACCAGGTGTGTGTGCGTGCATGCCCAAAATCCCACAAGGAGAATGGAAGAGTAGGGATTTCACCATGGCCATCCTCCCTAAGGGGAGGGCTGATTTCTCACTTTCTCTCTCTCTGTCTCTCCAGTGAGCACACATGCCCCAATAGCAAACATCTCTAAATAATAATAATAATAATAATGAATGTAATTGAGTAAAACAGAAAGAACACATAATATTAAAGAACATGAGTACATTATAATCTTTTTGTTTTCTTTCTTTTTTCCTTCCTTCCTTCCTTCCAAGGGGAGGGCTGATTTCTCGCTTTCTCTCTCTCTGTCTCTCCAGTGAGCACACATGCCCCAATAGCAAACATCTCTAAATAATAATAATAATAATAATGAATGTAATTGAGTAAAACAGAAAGAACACATAATATTAAAGAACATGAGTACATTATAATCTTTTTGTTTTCTTTCTTTTTTCCTTCCTTCCTTCCTTCCTTCTTTCCTTCCTTCCTTCCTTTCTTCCTTCTTTTCTTTCTTTTTTTTTTTTTAATTTCCAGAGGGTACAAGCACTCACCATAGAGGAGAGAGAGAGAGAGAACCCCTGAATGGGGCATGGTCATACCACAATCCCTTCTCCTCTATTTCTTCCACCTGTTGGGATTTGGGGCATGTATTTACAGGTAAGGAAAAAAAAAAATAAGTGGTAAAAAATAAGTGAGCCCTAAAACTTGAAAACAAACTGAAAAGAAATCTAGGAGGGAGGCGAGGAGGTACATGGAAGTTCTAGATAAGGAGATTTTAAAAACTGACAACCAAATGTAAACATAATGTATACTTGTTGAAACAAAACTTCAGTAATCCAAAAATTTTATTATAAATATTAAATGTATAGGAACTGTCATTAATTTTGTTAAGTGTAATGATGGCATACGGTCATATAAGAAAAAGTTCCCATGTTTTAGAGATGCACAGTGAAATATATAGAAAAAATGCAGAATGTCTGTGCCTTGCTTTAAAATACTGCATAAAGGGAGAAATGAAGAGGGAAAGAAAGAGACGGTAAAGTAGATATGGCCAATCTTGCTCTTTGTTGGATCTGGGTAATGAATCTCAGGGCTTAATGGATTAATCTCTCTGTGTTCTCGGTGCACTTGGCATCCTCATTATAAAATATTTTAAATTCCATGTGGTATCAAAAAATATAATCCCCTGACTTGAAAAGAAAATCATACCAAATAGACTCTAATAAGAAACACACTTAAGAGGAAAATGTCCAGTGTTGGTAATTATGAAAGAAATGACCAAAACGAAAACAGTAACAAGTTACCCTTTAATACCTCTTAAATTTACCCCAAACTATTGACTGCAGAAACCAGTGTTGGCAGGGCTGGGAGAGACAGCCACTGTCATGTGTTGCAGGTGGCACTGTAAATTAGAATGACCCTTTAGGCAATTTAGCAATAAATATTAAGAGCCATAAAGCTGTTCATACCCTTTGACCCACTAATCCCACTCCTGGGAATTTATCCTAAGGATATAATTCAAACATAGGAAAAAAGCTATATATATAAAGATGTTCTTGCTCTCATTATTTATAATAGAGAGAAAATGGAAATAACCTTAATGTCCAGCACTAAAGGAATGGGTAATAAATTATAGTATATCAATTTGATGGAGTACATTACACAAACACTAAAAACCATTGCAAAATGGAAAAGTGTTTACAAAAAGCCTCAAGAGTTAGAAAAACAAAAGCTTACAATGATGAAAGTAAAAGCTGGAAGAGCAGTTTGATAAGTGATACAGCTCTGAGGCTGAAGTGGGAGTGTGGGGGAAAAGATGTTTGTTTTATGTAAATTTCCTATAAATTTTGCAGAAATAATTTTCAAAAATCATCCTCCTAGTGGGTTTCTTTTTTCATTCCTTTCTGCAGTTTTAAGATTTTTTTTTTAAGTTTATTT